CAGTCTGTGCGAGTTAGTCGAGTTAGTGGAGATCATAAATAAATAAAAAAAAAAAATGGTGTGGAAATTGTGTGTGTGTGTGTGTGTGTGTGTGTGTGTGTGTGTGTGTGTGTGTGTGTGTGTGTGTGTGTGTGTGTGTGTGTGTGTGTGTGTGTGTGTGTGTGTGTGTGTGTGTGTGTGTGTGTGTGTGTGTGTGTGTGTGTGTGTGTGTGTGTGTGTGTGTGTGTGTGTGTGTGTGTGTGTGTGTGTGTGTGTGTGTGTGTGTGTGTGTGTGTGTGTGTGTGTGTGTGTGTTCAATCTAACCCCCACTGGCCGGCAGTGGTATTATGGAAGAACTTTGCTCACAACAATCCTTGATGTAAAAATTTAAAGCCAGTTTAGTTCGGGAGTTAGAAAGCGATAGCCATAATGCCTGGTAATTCACGTCCATTCCGAGGTTACTTTCACACCCGAGTAGCACATTTCCGTCAAAATAAGTTGCAGCAACTTGTTTACGACTGATATTAGTTGTATAGAAGTTGCCACAACCGATTTGTGACAAGCGTGCTACTAGGGCATACAATAAGCCCCGCATGTAAACACTACCGTTATCATATGAATAATGGTACTGCAAACACACTTCCAGATTTCGAAATGTGATGTTTATAACACTAGTTTACAGCATTTTTGAACTCGGTAAGGTGATGATCATTTCAAATGCAAAATCCTACGCTGAATTCAATGCCGTGGTCAGAAAAAATTAAAGTAGAGCCATTTTTAAGATGTACAAAAATTTGGTTTTTTGAATTTTGGACAAAAGTACGATTACTAAAATGTCAATATCTTTGGAACTAGTGCACCAATTCTAAATCTTTTTTTATGAAAATGAAGCTAAATAAATTTGCTTTCGTTCATTAGGATATTATGTCTTAATTAAAGATTTAATTTTGAAGTCATTTAAAAATTTACAGCTTTTTTTTTATTTTTCCTGCGAATTTTCCATAAAAGTCTTGTTTTAATCAACATTTTTAATGGGATAAAAAGATTCAAAAAATCATTCCATAATTTATTCTTAAAGTACATTCAAAACCGGAGAAAATGAGCCTTTAATGGATGAAATCGGTTGGAAATTGTCGAAGTTATGAGCATTTTTGTAAAACACTTAAAAATGTTGCTGAAATACAACAGCTTTAGAGTTCCTTTTCTAGGTGTCGTTGTAAGCATCCAAATCGCATGTAAAGTTTTCATGGGAGATTCTTTTCTCTACATATCAATTTGATTAAGGCATATCAGGATTTAAAACCGAGTTGATACAAAAGAAATTTATTTAGGTTTTATTAAAAATGATTGAGAATCGAATGACTTTGTCTTAGATGTTTTGAACTTGTTTCTCGAATCAGATACCAACAATAGTCACCCATCATTGCTTCATCCCAAAACCCTTGGTAACGACGTTCCATCATCTTCATTTGTTGGTGAAAACGTTCGCCGTGCTCATCACTCTCGTCACCAAGATTTTCCGGGAAAAAATCCATGTGAGAATATAGGAAATGTATCTTCAAAGACATATTCACACCTGTGTTCAGTGAAATAAAAGGATTTGAAATTAATTATATGTAACAAACACAATATTTTTGATTTATACCTATTTTCTCATAATTTTTGAGCAATTCATCGACGGCTTCCTCATAATCTGGGCTTCTGAAATTTCCTAAAAAGGTTGTGACAACACGCTGGAACGATTTCCACGCTTCTTCCTCATCTGGTGTCAAAACTGTATTGAATGCGGAATCATTGAGCAGTTTTTTGATCTGTGGGCCAACAAATACACCTTCCTTTATCTTTGCGTCAGATAAATTAGGAAATACTGATTTCAAGTACTGGAATGCCGGCCCTTCTTTTTGCAACGCTTTGACGAAATTTTTGAATAGCCCAAGTTTTATATGTAGTGGTGGAAGTATTATGCGTTCTTTTACCACAAGAGGATAATTTTTAACGTTGTCTTTACCAATTGTGAAATTATCCCGTTTTGGCCAATCTTTTCGGACGTAGTGTTCCTTACGAGCTCGACTGTCCCATTTACACAAAAAACACATATATTTTGTGTATCCCTGTTGCAATCCAGTCAACATGGCAACCACTTTAAGATCGGAACAAATTTTCCAATTGTGTTGATTGTAATTTATCAAATTGAGCAATAGAGCCATTGATTCATACGTTTCCTTCATATTAACGGCATGAACTAATGGAATAGAAGGTTTCTCATTCCCTTGATGCAGTAAAATGGCTTTCAAGCTCAACTTGCTGCTATCGATGAATAAACGCCATTCAGCTGGATCATATGGCTCACCAAACTCTTCAAACAAGCCGTTTACGTCATGGCAAAAAACATGCCTTGTCCTTTGTAGAATAATATTTGTCAAATTTCTTGTGACGATTCCTGTGACAAGAAATTTTGACCTCCTTGCTCAGCATGTTGTGTTCTTTCAAGCGTGATGCCAGCAATTTGGATTTCTCCTTCGATAAGTCGAGATCTCGCACCAAACCATTAAATTCGGATTGTGTAAACAGTTTTGGGTTTCTTTCCAATTCCACCTCGAAGTCTTCCTCGCATTCCTCCTTGAATTCCTCCTCACTTTATGTAACGGTCGATTCAACAGAGGGCGCTCGTTTCCGCTTTGGATAAACAGGATACGGGACCGAACTTGAATGTGGAACAGGTTTTGTCATAGAAGCCACTTGTGGATACTCAACTGTTTTGTGACGTCCTTGTTGCTTAACTTTTGTCAAGCAGAAATAACAATCCGTTGCATGACAAAACGATCGACGCCATATGGTGGGCATGTCAAAGGACAAATAGCGACTGACAGATAACAAATAAGTGAGTTAGTAAGTAAGACATTAACACTTATCAAAAATAGATGAAGTAAGATAATGTCGATCAGGAAAGAACAAAGCACTACCATGCTGTACATAAATTGTTTATATGAAAGTTATTCAAAAAATCAATTTACCTTGCGCCTGACATCCACCTAGCCAAGCACGTTTTGCACGAACTAAATAATACTTTTGGAATCAACGGTTCGTCAAAGTCTCCAGGATCAATTTTAAAATAAAGCCTGTATACAGTTTGCAACGAAGCAGTGAAATTGACCGATTTTGTAAATATATAGTTGCCACACGCGTAACAAAACTTTTGAGGATCATTTTTACACTTGAATTCACGTTTTGTCGTATACATCGTTAAGCAATGTTAAAGAAAGAAAGCTGTCAAATTGAGTTGGTTGCGTTAGGTTCTCGCCGAGCGGTCTCACAAACACTAGCGTAAATTATATTGTTGAAAATATCCCATTTAATTTTGCGTGACAGCTGGTAGTGTTAGTGAAATGCACCGTATGCGTACACGTCCGCAGAAAGGCTTACTGGAAGTGGTGCATGAACCTAGGAGCGGGACAACGGCCAATCTTGGAACATTCAATTTCCATGATTTTACAAAAAATTTCATAACTTCGACAATTTCCAACCGACTTCATCCATTAAAGGCTCATTTTCTCCAGTTTTTAATGGATTTTAAGAATAAGTTATGGAATGATTTTTTGAATCTTTTTATCCCATTAAAAATGTTGATTAAAACAAGATTTTTATGGAAAATTCGCAGGAAAAATAAAAAAAAAATGCTGTAAATTTTTAAATGACTTCAAAATTAAATTTTTAATTTAGACATAATATTAGAACGATAGCAAATTTATTTAGCTTCATTTTCATAAAAAAATATTTAAAATTGGTGCACTAGTTCCAAAGATATTGACATTTTAGTAATCGTACTTTTGTCCAAAATTCAAAAAAATCAAAATTTTTGTATATCTCAAAAATGACTCTACTTTAATTTTTTCTGACCACGGCATTGAATTCAGCGTAGGATTTTGCATTAGAAACGTTGGTCAACCACTAAAGTTCACACTTTTTATGTTGTTTTGTAAACTAGTGTAATCAGATGGATCTCACCAAATTTTGCCTCCGAAAAATCTTCCGCGTTGTTTTTACAACCGAACACAACATTTTGAATCACATACGAATTTTTTCATTTGCCCCGAATTTTAGCCTAACACCTCATTCGCGTGCATATTCCGGAAGGCAGAACGCCAGCACCCCGGTAAAACTCTTCTTGGGAGGTAGGCAAAGCACCAAAAACAAGCGAAAAGAAAAACCGACCAACGCGACACCACAGCAACACAGCTACTCGAAAAAAATTCTATTCCCAGAGTTTTCACTTTAATTACAATACCACTAAAAAGCTTCTTAAAACGTGATAGATCTTAATTTACACTTATCCACACGTGAAAACTAATATTTGTTTACTTGGTATTATTAAAAAATATGCGGAAAACAGATGAAATCAGCGCTAGCGAAAACAAAACCAACCGTTCGTGGACAGAGCCTACCGCGTTTTTTTCAAAAAAAAAAAAAAAAATTGTGTGGAAATTGGTTTCAAATCAGTGTAACACAAGAAATGTGGCTTTAAACATGAGGGCTGTTTGGGTTTGCAAATCTTTATACTGCTGAAGCCGTGCTCCACCCTTAAAAGTTGTTTTAGTAAGCAATTTAAAATAGAAGTAGAAATCAAGCTCTTGATCTGAACAGGACTGCAAATAATCACATTTCAATTGACAAGTACAACCCACGGGGAATTGATGTAAATAAAATTCAACTTGCACTACTGATTCACTCATAAATGCATTTCGACTACCTCCCTGTGGCACAGTAAAGCTTTCAGATAATTTGCCCAGCAAACCCTGGAGCAGAACCAATTTCATCGATGCCAATACGATCCGAACAACTGTTGATTTATACAATTGGCAGCTCCGGGGATATTGAACTGGCTTACCGACTGACTGGACTTACACACCAGGTCAATCGGTCGACCAGATAAAATGTAAAAATTGCAACCCTAGAGGCGTTATAATGAACCCACACCAACCGCCCATTCACCTTATCACCCAATGCAGTTGGTTGCAACTTACCAGCTTTCCGGACGAGCCGTACTTTCTCGCCCGGTCCTTCTCGAGCCGTAGCAAAATCTGGGCATTCTGTTCGCACGTGTACGTGTGCTGGCGAGGATTCTTCCTGTCCAAGCTGTACTGATATAGTGGCCTTAATGGATTTGGTATTATCTGCAAATATTTGTGAAACAACAACAACAACAACGAGAAGCATGAGAAAATGGCTAGAAATATTGTGCGTTGATGGTGGTGGCCCAGCTACGGTAAAAGTGATTGCGTAAATATTTAATGGAGTTTCGTGGTACAAATTTTTGGGTCACCTCTTGCGGAAAGGGGATGTTGTCCTGGTCAGTTTCGCTTCCGTTAGTCTTTATTTGTTTTTGATTTCTCGAGGTGAATATTAGGATACTGTCCTCGTGGGACCAGCAGAGCCCCGAGAAAGTTACACCCGGAACAAGTGGCAGCCGGGATTCGGTGAAGTAAAGGGAATCGGAAGATGGATTACCCTAAATCAATGTCGTCTTCACGCTCTACCGGTGGGTGGCTGGTGGTGGGGATCCAGCGCTAGTAGAGACTACGTGATTAGGGTGATGTTTGATATGCAAGGTGGAGTTAATACAAAGAAGATTGTTTTATTGTGTTAACGTGCAGATGGAAGAAAGACGTATCGCAAGGGTGGTGATAGATCACAGCGGAGTCTCATACAACTGACCGTTTCTGCCTGAATACATTTCTTTTATCTACACAGTTAAGTGCTTGATGGAGAGCTTTTCTTGGAATATGGGATTCTTTCATCAGGAATTATAAGTCTATTGAAGTGGAAGCTTACGGTTGGTGAATGAAAATGTTTGCTCAGGTTTGAACTGGATTTAAAAACACAATTAATGTGCACGTTTAGCATAATTTTCAGACCGGACGAATTTTACCCTTCTCGTGGTTGCTTCCAAATGAGCTAGAATTTAAAGGGGATGATCAGAACCTGAGCATGTTGGTAAATTCCAACCGAATGCAAATTATATTGCAATACTAATCGATTCGTAAATAACCGCCTTCGATAGTACCTGTTCAAGCCCTATTAGGATGATATCGATATGCACAAAGTGCTTCTCTGGTAGCAACTAATTCAATTAACTAACTGTTTGAAAACGAATCCCTACAGGGAACGGCAAGCAATCTTGCAAAGGTTAATTACTGGCATTTATCCGATAATTATGGCACAAATAGGATCTACGTCGGGCTGCACTCCGCGTGATTCAATTTCCACCGATTGTCGCCATAATGCCGGCCACTAGGATGGCGTGGAACACAACGCAAAAGAAAACGTGGAAAGAGATTATGTGACCCGAACACCCCCACCACCGTCCCCACGGAAAATCCCACGGGAGAACTATAGGTACTCACCTCCGTCTCGGCATCGCAGCTGCACAGTGACAAAGTGCTTAATCCGCCGGCACCACGCCTGAGCGAATTCTTGGCGCTGCCGCCTCCGCCGCTACAGTCCTTACTGTTTTTCAAGATGGAAGAACTGCTGCTGTGACCAGCAGCGGCGGGTCGGGTTAGGGTAGCGTTGGCAGCCACCGTCGTTGACACCGGATACTGGTACTGCTGTAGCTGCTGGGCCGGAGCCTGGGAATTCTGCTGCTGGAGGTGCTGATGATGTTGGTGCTGGTGATGATGGTATCGATGATGATGTTTGTGAGAATGATGCTGCTGCTGCGGATGCTGATAGTCCGATTGAGACGAGGAACAGGTCGAGTAGCTATCGTTGTTCAGATCCGCAGCGTGTTTGCTGTACTCTTTCAGCTTTTGCTGATGAAGCAGAACTTGCGTTTTTATTGAGGACTCGTTGGTGCTATTTACATTTAAATTGGATTTCCCCCCGTAGCTGTTACGTAGCGTGTGAAAGCGTTTAAACTCATCAGCTGAAGTGTTGGCCGAGGCATCCGGTTTGACAGTGGCCGTTGGTTTTACCATGCCACCCTGCTGCTGGTTGGCCGGTAGAGCTGTTTGGGATCGCCACTTGGCCGATCCGCCGGTGTTGGACCCGCTTCGACCGACCGTTGCTGATTGCTGTCCATTGTTGTTTGCTGCGGCGTTGGTGGCACTATACTCACACTCGCTGTAGGATTTTTTCAATCGTTGATGATAGCTATTGTTACGCTTCAGCGTACTGGAAGCACTTGGACCCGGTTCGATTTTCCCGTTGTGCTTCACATAAGCTTGCCCGTTGCGGTTGATGTCGGTCATTTTGGCGCACTTTTTATGCTAATATTGCCGCTCGAATACACACAGGGGCGCACTTTTTCTCCTGGCTCGTTGGCACGAACCGATTATGATCACAATTTTCTATCATGTGCTAAGCCGCACCACTCTTATCTGCTATCCCCGGTCTGCAGAAGGAAAGTGGATTGGAATTTGTGGGGATATTTTTTTACCAATTTCTTATTGGCAGCTCATGCAGAGTTTTGATCCTTGAAAAGATAATTCTCGAGTCTCGAATCGATAAGGATTTGTGAAATCTTATCTGGAATTTTCTTTCTGGTTTATTTTCATTTGCTATCTGCTCCGTCATGAACCCATCAACACAAAGGCCGGCATATAAAGGGTGCTGCGATCAAAATCTGGTCGACTTAAGCTTGACACATTTATTTTAATCGAGCATTTCTAGCGTCACTTTACAAAATGTCATAACCCGAGTAACACAAATTCATGGTATTATGTTGAGTAAACTGCTTTACAACCAAAATTAGTCATATAAAGGTTATATAGCCTGTTATAGAACATGTGCGTTGGATGGGAAGTAACAAATGTAAACAAATCGTGTTAAGCGATACAAACTATTGCTCTTCTATCAATGTATGTGACACAAAAACATCCATCCAAATTTACTTTCATTTATTTAAGATAATCATACATCAAAAATTCTCCAATGTACAGTTTGAAATGATGGGTACGTGATTGATACTTCGGTCATTTGGACTGCCTAACATGATTGGTGCTCATTTTCTAAAGGCGGGGTCCATCTAAAGTTAGGTACTCTACTCTGAAATCTGAGCAAGGGAATCTAGTATTATATCATTGAGAAAATCGTCCTGTGTAACATGTCCGATGTACAACTTGACTCGTCAAAACGTCCTATGTGATTTTTTCTATATTGTAGCATGAAATTCAAAGTAAAATTGTGATTTTACCGAGGGGGGCGACACATCTAAATCTCAATTCTAGATGCTAAAAAAATCTCACACTAGTGAATAAATTTTCGAAAAATCTTCTTTCATTTCTCGCATCTACTTGCATCGCGCATCATTTTTTGCAGGATATCTTCAAAATCGTGATAAATCTTTTTTCTATCAACTCAGCGTACGCGCAGCTAGCCACAGCAAAACACAATATTTCCTGCATCGTAGATAGAGTCGCCCCCCTCGGATTTTACCATTTCTACTGAATTTTCAACGTTAAAACAGTATTGCAAAATGTATTGTTTCTAAACAGTTAAAATAATAATCCGTCGAACTTCAACTTCGATTTTCTCAAAATGGTGGATATGTTACATTGGTCTATTTGAAAAGTGACGCGAGATTTAAAAAAACCTGAACACCCCTCATTTTGACATTGACATTTGCTCTTCAGTTATCAAAATGGCCAATATAGTTCTTACGATACTCAGTTTGGCCGCCAATGTATATGGCTTTGAATTGTCATGTGATTTGATGTATCGCTTCAAGGATTTTGATTTAAATAGGATTTACCACTTCCCCGGGGATACCCGGAACATGTTCGAGTGTGACTTACATGGTGCTGGTCACTCTTCATAACTCTTATTGATCTTATTTTTGAATTCTCATGTGAATTGATTTATCTCATGGTGGGTTTGGCACGTTTATGAAAATCTCTGGTCTGATGAAGACCCATACTCACCGGAATATGTTCCGACCATTGCTCTGGAACCAGCGGAACAAATCCAGAAACATTCAATAACGTTCTATGGAACCATGGTATCTTTCTACTGTTCAATTCTGTGCTAAACGAATGCAGCATTATCATGGAATTGTGACTGACCATTGGCCATAAATTAAAAATTTCATGATGTTTTTTTCCAATATGTTTGGGTAAACATGGATGCATTCTATTACATTGCACGTTTAAATTTATTCCTCCAAAATAAGTGTCAAATCAGAAAACTTGTAAAATCTTTTAACACCGTTTTCTCATTTCCAGTTTTTTACAGATGGAACTGACTTGTGATTATGGGCAGTGTACCTGTGGTTTGAAAAGCAACATTTTCATTAACAGGACCGTCAACCAGGAAATTAACGTGAACGAGTGTCTGGAAAAATGTCTGCTGCCTTTTCTGAAGCAACACGATTGTTCCGTGCTGTTTAGACCGGATTGGGCATTCAGCCATTACGGAAAAAGGCTATGGAGTGGTATGCTGCCAACAACGTACAGGTGGTGCTCAAGTACAAGAACCCTCCCAACATGCCAGAGCTCCACCCAATCGAAAAATATTGTGACATTGTCAAGTGGAACCTGAAGAAGACCCAAAAAACTGTTGGAAGCGAGAAGCAGTTTAAGGCAAAATTGGCGTTCTGTGACGAACAAAGTGGACGAGGTGGCAGTATCTGATGATGAATCTGATGACAGGAGTTAAAAGAAATATCCGGGAATTCAGATTTGCTCAACCGGAAGCTCATCTGAATATCTTTACTGAATTTTATACTAATTCTTCGTTCCTTTATTTAACGTTAGTCTCTGTTACGCAATCTAGTGCCAATCACCGACCAACATCGATTGCCAGCCATTGACGGCAATCGAATGTGCAGAAATAAAGCTTCCACACCTGCATAGGATATCGCATCCATTCAACACACATGGGCCGGGACCAACGGCTCTACTTCCCTTCCGAAGGAAGACACGACCAGAGATTTTTTTGTCTCAGAAAAATCGAACTGACCTCGGCTGGGATTGAACTCAGACCCATTGGGGTAAGAAAGCAGTCACGCTTATACCACTGGCGCCGGATATGAATTTTATACTAATTGAACTTTAAAAAGAAAAAATAAATTGATTTTTGATTATACAATTAATTAATGTACACGCATTCCTGATTGACCGAATTTTGATCGTAGCACCCTTTAAGTCTTTAATTAATTTTCCAAGGAAGACATGGCTAAATATTTTTGTTTTTGGAAATACCAGTGACCTCGGCTGGGATTGAATTCGATGTTACGCTTATCAGTTAACCCTCGGTTGGCACATATTAGTAATCTATACGGGGATGCCGATGGCAAAAAGAAAATCTTTTTAGGCGTTGACTACGTCTTACGGGTGCAGGGGGTGCATTGAAAACCAAAAATTGCAAAACCTTCACAAACGGTGTTAGGTTTTGAATGCTTATGTACGTTGTCATCTAAAGACAATATTTAAATCCAAGTACACCAATCGATTTCTACTGAAATAAATAATTTTCCAATTTTCCATAAAGAAACTTTTGAAAAATGTAGTAAAATTTGATAATTTTTTCACTGTATTCATGAAAAAACGTTTTCCCATTCCCAGTCAGTTGTTTTGAAAGAATTTTGAGAACATTTTAGAATTTAGAATTGAATTTCAGGGATAACACCAGTGTGATGGCTCGTTAATTTGTTAATTTTTCATAGAGTAGTTGAAGAAAATGCTCCACCCTTTTGAACTACGCCTATGAGTTTGAGCAAATATTTTTGAATAATCCTTCCGAACATACGAACGCGAGAAGATGGGAAACTCCGAACTTTACCTTAATTTATATGAGTAAATGGCAGAGGGGATACAGTAAGCTCCTCCCCCCCCTACTCGATCCAACTACGCTTATGAAATTGAGCAATACAAGCTGAAAATTGCATTAGGTCTTAAGTAACATTGATCGATTCTCTTCGTCGACTTTTTTTTTTCTTCGTCGACTTTCTCTTTCGTTAATAACTTGAGCACAGAACCGTTTCTTGATGTGTTTGTCGTATTAGATGCTAGATAAAAGCTTCTTTTATCGATCTGTATGCTGAAAATACCTATGAATGTATTTACATGGCCGTGGGGATACAAAATGAAAGTCGACGAAGAGAATCTGTCAATGTTACTTAGGACCTAACTACGCATATGAGATAGGGCCATTGTTTTATACCAAAGCGATAAAATAAGAAAACCCGAAATTATTTCAGTTTGGGCTTTCATTGGAACACCGGCATGGCTGGCAGAAAAAAGTGATTTTTGGCATATAATGCGAAACATTGATCTTTGAACAGCTATAGCTTTTTTTTAAGAGACATTATAACACCGTTCATTCTTCAGTAAAGTTTTCCTTGATTCGTTTTCCGTCGATCTTGATTTCCGTGCTGAGCATCAATGCTACCGACGCCAGGGAGGCAGCTCCCACACCTGGAGCCTACATATCGGCCCATCAACTCATGGACCGGGGTTCAACGGCTTTACTTCCTTTCCGAAGGAAGGCGTGATCAGAGATGTTATGCCTCAGAACATCCCGGCGGCGCCGACTGGGATTGAACCCAGGCCTGCTGGGGTGAGAGGTAATCACGCTTACCACTACACAACCGGCGCCGCTACCCTTTAGCAAAGTTGTTAGGCACTTGTTTGACTATACTCGCATGATTAGTTGCATAGTTCAAGCAAAATGTTGATCCCTAAAAATGAAAATGCAAAAAAAAAAGTAGTTTTCCCAAATTTGAAACGCAATGCAGAAGCCACGCTACATCCAATCGTCCCCAAATATTGCACAGATGTTTGTAATCCCAAATGAAACTTAAAAACAAAACATTGCTAAGAAAAATGATCATGATGATTCACCCTATACAGCAAAAAATTAATTTTAATACTACTTTATTAATTACATCTTAATCATAATTTTGTCGTTTTTGGCAAGTATATTTAGAAGAATTTTCGACACGATTGAAGTGCATCCACTTTGATGTAATATTAAAATTATTTTTTTCTGTGTAATATACCTATGCCTTGAATAATAACGGTCACTTCAGTGGATCTGAATTTAATAACGGTTGAAGAATCTGACTCAAATTTAAGTTCCATTTACCAACAGTCTCAACAAAGAAATAAAGAAAGTCGATATCAATTTTACCATGCAGGGCCCAGGTTAAGGTAAAACCAAGCACTGAACCAGGATTGAAATCTTTCATGTTGGCCATATGTGTCACTGCACAGTGGACTAGAATGCAGATTTAGGTTGAAAGATATGTTTTGAGTCTGAAATTGAAACTTTAGACTAAAAGTCTCTTGAAGACAGTTGTTCCTTATAGTTAGGCCCTCATTTTTATGACAATGAATTCTAGGGTGGTTCTTATTATCATTGAAATAAAAAATCTAACTTTTTTGTTTGAAGAAA